TCCCACCCACGTCCGTATTGCATACCTGGGGGGGTGCTTTTCCCTCTCCTCATCATTGATTTCCCTTGCCCGGAGTGGGTGGGCACACAGGGACACAGCCCAGCACGCCGTCCCACCCGACCGCCGCCTGACCTCCTCCTCCAGCATCTCCCCAGCCGAAGCTGTTTGCTCTCACACGCTTCGCTTGGGCTTGTGTCTTGCAAAACTTGGCGGGTGAAGGAGGTGAGCGTACATGCGGTGCCAAGCATTTGCTGAAGCTGGGCAGGTTCCCGGTTTAAATAAATCTAAATTCCCAGGATCTAGAGAAGGAGGCTGACCTGGCGGTGTGCTGCTGGCAGCCCTGCCAGCGGAGGGGACGGCTGAATGCCTGCCCCGCGTGGCCGCCTGACTGCCTGCCCCGCTCCCCCCGAGCTGAGGCATGGGGGTCCACCACACAGGGGAGGAGAGCCTGAATCCCAGCTCTCAGCTCCTCGGTGAGAGACAAAGAGTCTGGTCCCCCAGCACCGTGGCAGAAATGTCTGATTAGGTACAACAGAGGGATCGATATGCATACTCAGGGACCTTTCTACACAAGCATAAATTAAGGAAAGCCAAATATTTATTTTAAATGGCTGTGCCATATGCTGATGAAGTGCTAATCTACACAGAAAAAAACACACTGTAAATAAACTCCCCAGAAGCACCTCACATTCACTGAGCTTCATCTTTCTGAGCAAACGAACAAGAAGAAAATAAAATCAACAGCATCCATTACAGACTCCCTTCCATAAGAAACTCAGGCAAGCTTAGGATGACGTGGGCCAGTGCTTTTCAAACTACCATCTGCAGCCCCCAGGAGCACCACAGGCTATTTGTTAAGGGCCCGCAGAAGGTATTGAAGAAAAACAAACTTGCTGTTTTTAATTCACAGTACAGGGATTTTCCACCTCCATAGAAAAAATGCTAGGGAGCTGCAAACCAAAAGCAACTGAAAAACACTGTTGTATGCTTTAGGATTAGGAACTGGGAGTCAGAGGGACAGTTTTGTCTCCTCCGCTGATCCCAGGACCTTGGGTGAGTGACTTCATTTCCACCTCTCTCCTCATCCTTCTCTCACCTCAACCTCAACTCCCCATAAGCGATTGCAGCGTCTTTCCTTGTGCACCCAAACGGTACCCAGCACAACAAAGCCCCAGGACCCTACAGGAACACATCACTATTGACATCCCCTTATTCCTCTAGTCCTCCAAAAACACTCCAGCCCCAGCACATCCCAAAGTTTGAAGACATTTCAATCACAGAATCACAGAATCGATTTGGTTGGAAGAGACCTCTAGGACCATCGCGTCCAACCTTTGCCCTAACACCCCCATGTCACCTAGACCATGGCATGAAGTGTCACCTCCAGTCTTTTCTTAAACACCTCCAGGGATGGGGACTCCACCACCTCCCTGGACAGCCCATTCCAATGCCTATTGACCAAGATGGGAAGTAAGCTATTAGAAAGTCAAATTTGACTACCTAAAAGGCAGTTTTTGTAGTGGCCATAACAAACTGGCCCCGGAGATCACTGTGTTTTTAAGCAGCAAGGCTGGGTGACGAAACCCGTCGGCAGCGCCTGCAGTTGGCTTCCTTTGTTCACCGAGCCACTTCCACCCTCTTACACACATTCTCCTGACAGGCAAAGATGCAAAGCCCACCGTTTTTATCCACATGCATATTGCAGTGTTGTCAGCAGCTCCTTAAGGTTATTCCCTTTTTTCTTCTCTGTTATATTTATAAACCCTGTGCAGAGTTGCTATGGTTTCTGTTATCGTCAGTCCAATTGGTATTCAGTGCAGTTCCTCTCACCTTCACCATTTGGGTGACCTTTACTTCACAAGGAAGATCTCATGCCATCAGCCCGTTCAATTAGATGTCACACAACATGCTGTGCAAGAACACCAACCGCTAAGCAAAAGAGGGCTCTGTGGAACCAATTCATCTGCAAAGGCTGTCTGAGAGACGGATAAACAATGGTAATTATTTCAAAACAAATTGGAACCAGAAAGCGCAACCCAGCAGTGTAACTGCTAGACAAAAAAGAAAGCCACAAGATGAAAAAAATTTCAGCTCTCAACGTCTTGGCTACTCTGGTATCTTCCTCTAGGGAAGTATTTGTCTACCTTTCTTGCTCTCCAAAGTCAAGTTCAAAAAACTCTTTCTTCCAAGACAGTTTCTTTTACATCAGCTGAACAACTTATGCAAAGGACTGCTCACGAATGGGAGAAACACAGCTGTAAACTGGTAGGAAGAATTTCTCTCTTTGCCAAACTAATATTCTAAATATTATATTTAAGTGACTTTCCACAAAGCTACACTGCTTGCAGCCAAGCGGGATGCACGATGCTTTCCTCCAAAAGTAAGCACGCTGGGGACGGGCTCAGCAGCTTCATGTACCAAGCAGATGACGAGATCCCCAAAACCCTAACCCAGACACTGAACAAAAAACCCATGGCTTCCCCCTAACTCCAAGAAAAAACATTCCTACCACAACAAAGAAGACACAAATACACAAAAGCCAGAAAACAGAGCTTGGACATGACACGACCCTAACTCTGCCTGCGCAGTAGGAACAGGAACATCCCCATATTTTGCCTCCTTGTAACAGCCAGAACTTTCCTTGTGGCACTTCCATGGCTGCTAAGGTAAGCGTTCTTGCGTTGGGCAACCAGGCTAGCCAAGACATCTCAACCCATACGCTTTTAATGCTAGTTGAGGCCTTCTAAAGAAAAGGAAAGTTGCCTGGATCTTTCCAAGACACCTTGGTGCAGGCATGGGTAAGAGCACGGCGCTTCAGCTGATCAAAAGACAGCCCCGTATTGCACAAAAGGAGCTCCTCTATTAGCAGTACCGTGTACGCAGTAAGTGGGTCAGAAGAACAGGTCACAACCAGCAAACGAAACTAGGCTGGCTTAGAAAGTGGAGAGGGTCAAATGCCCCGGTGCTCTGGGAGGCGAGAACATCACTTGCTGCCGCAGCTCTGTGAGCTAAGGTTTGTGTGGAAGTTGGGCTCTGAAACACGGGCGACTGAAGCATCCGCAGCTGTGGCCAGCGCTCTCACGAAACACTTAACGTGAGCAGGGAAAAAGACGGTGTGCCATGTTCTCTGAACTGCAGCATCTCTCTGCCTTTGCTGTCACCGACAAGGGTGGCTTTATGCAGTCTGCTTTATTCCATCAGCGGGCTCCTGAGACAACTCCTGCCCGGCTCAGCTGCAGTCTGCACCCACAGTGTTTTTCAGTGGGTGGCTCACACAGAGCTGCCATCGGCTGCTGCCGCGGTGCTGGCACCCAATATACACCAGCACGTTGCTCTGGCACTCCCGGGCTCCCTGCTTGCTCCCCGGCAGCACAGTGTCACCTGCATTGTTCATCGTGTACTATATCTGTCACCACAGACCAAAAAAAAACAAATCGCAGTCCACAATCTGATTCGGGGTGGTTTATTCCAAAAACAGACAAAAAATTTTTCACTCACCATTTCCTCTGCTGCTTCCACCTCCTCGTGCCTGGATTGTACAGCTAAGTCTTTGCTCGCTCGGTGGAGGACATCTTTACAGCACACAAGCTCTTTCATCTTCACCATGATCAGAACAAGTCAGCGCACCTTTGCTATTTCACAGTCTCTTTTAAACCAGGGCGAGCTGAACTTTCTATGCAAAGATTTGACCTCTCCTGAAATCCCTTGATCAGCAATTTCCCTTGCTCGCTCTTTCATGTTGGAGGCATTATGAAACACTGGAAACTACACATTCTTTCATAAGGAAGTTAGTGAGAAAATTCAAATAATCAACTCAGTCCCAGGAGACTTGGGGTCTCTTTCCAAGTTTGAAAGCTCTTTCCTAACAGAAGTTTTGCTCTTGAAAGTCTTCTGGTTAGCAGGCAGCTGATGATACAGTTTCTCTGGAGCCTGATTATACTTCCAGCCCAGGGGCAAGTAATAAAAAAGCCTGCCCGGCTCTGTGAGGTCTGAATCAGGTGCTAACACTGAACATCTGCTGGGGCCTCTGCTCTCCTCTCCCCCACCCTCATTCCATGTGCTGGGCATTGGAGCATTCTCCATTTTATAGCTTGTGGCAACAAAAGGCCAATTTAAGAGGGAAAGCATTGCTGATGGCGTTATCCAAAAAAACCAGACTCTCTGCTTTAACTGCTCTCTGTCCAGGACTTTGGTGAGTCCAACAGCACCCTGACACGCTGAAAAGATCTGCGCTGTATGGCAGCCTTTGCAAACGGTTACCAGCAAAGCATTCACAGCCCAAGCCGAGCAAGACAAACAGACTCTACACGTACGTTTATTACTTCATACCACCAGATTGCTTATTGTACAAAAATTAACAGTGCCACCCTACAGGGCCTTCACAGATGTTTAGAAAGAGATACGTAAACACAGCTTTAAAACACGCTTTTTATGTAATTTATGTACAAACTACTGAAGCACCACACATTGTGTGCGTATATACACCCAGACACACATGTGCGCATGTATCTCCATACGCCTACAGACACAGGCTGAACAAATTGTCGCAGCAGGCTGTGATATGCTCGTGCATCGCGCTCTGAAGAATCCCACATCCCTACACAAGGGTTTCCACCAGTAGGAGATGAACTGGACTTACACTGAGCCGTAAGCTCATCCTTAGAGCCTTGAGTTGTTGCCGCTGTTGGCCTGGCCTTCCTTCCCTGGTTGCTCCTTGCTGCACCCCACTGCTGGCTCCCCTCTTTTGTTAATAACCCAACCTCCACACTCACCAGGGTGGCTTGGTGAAGATGTAAGGGTCAGCATACAGGGTCAGGTCCCTATCCGGAAAAGCCTGAGGAGGGAAGAGTTGGTCTCTCTCGTCTGGGGTGCCTGATCTAGCAGGGCCCAAGTTATGGGTGTAATGCTTGGGCACAACTGTCTTACGTATAAACATCTACAGCCTGGAAACTTTCACTTTTCTGTTCTGCAACAGTAAAAGATGAAGGAACTTGTACAGGAAAAAACATATTTGGGGTAGAAATCATGACCTTTAGAGAAAAAGACTGCAGCACCTGAATAATTCCTACTAGAAGCAATGCCCAGTACAGTCAATTTTGCTTAACTTCCAAGAGGGAAGTTTAACGCCTTAAGGTAGAAGGTTCATCAAAGAGCTAAGGAACGACAGTTTTGCTGAACGCTGTCAGGAAGGGCAGGAAGGGCACTGCTGCCTGCAATATGAAACTCAGAAACTGAGAAAACTGGTACTTATACCTTTCTAAGCAGCAACTGCTGAATCCCAGCACTGCTCTTGGGCAGCTGAGCAGGGTAAGTTATTGGCATTCACGTCTATTCCCTTCCAGATCTTGCTTGCGTAGACTATGCTCCTCGGGCAGCATTGGCCTCTCTAGGGAGAGACCCTGAAGTGCTCAACTGGCATTGGCCGCAAAAGATTCACGTAGCTTTACTAATTTCTACTGCAGTCAAACAAACAAAGAAAAAAAGAGTAATGGCTGCAGCCTACAGCTTTCGTAAGGAAGAAATGACAGGCTGTAGGAATGTTTGCAAAGCTTTCTCTCTATATAGATCCAGTTATTCCCTGGGAGGAACAGACTAGCCCTGATAGAAATTTAACCAAAAATTACAAAGAGTCAACACGGCTTCTGCTTGCTGGCTCATCTTCTAACGCAGAGAGAACTGTTCCTTTTCATCCGACAGCCACAGGTATCGTGAATCCCAAGGGTTCTACTGCACAGTTAGTGCAAACTAACCTCAGGGAAACTTTAGGAAACTAACTTCAGGAAAGAAGCATTTATTTCTGCCTGTAGGTGAAGAAGGTAAAAGCTGGTGCTCTTCGTGCACTAACCTCCCTGTCCAGGAGTGTAACAGGTCCTAACGCTAGGCAGCGGAGATGTTCTGTCCTTGGAAAGATATGAACAGCAGCTGTGTCTCAAACAGTCTGGGGGTCCCAGAAGATATTTTTCTGGAGTGCCACAGGGAAACATGCTTCTAAAACCCTGACTGAGTTTCATGTCAAATGCAAGGTTGAGAGAATCGACATGGTGTTTCTCCATGCAAATTGGGGCAGCCCTTTATAATGGCAGGATCAATCCGAGACGTGGTCTTCACATACAGAGAAAGAAAAAGGAGTACTGGCAGACAAAGCAGCAACGGTAAAACAGCTTCAAAAGTCACTCACATAATCAGATAGATGCTGCAGAGCTGTCATGCATGTATCCTGACCGTCCTTGCTATTGAACAGTAAACTCACGTGAGCAGCATTTGCTTTAGTGGCTCACACGTGATGGCCCAAGAGACCAGTGTGCAGAATTACCGACATTATTGGGAACTTCCGAGAACTAGTCAAAAGGAGCAAATAAGGATATACTCCCACTCAAGAGGAGGTATTACCTGTTTCTTACTCCAGTTTGCCACATCTGGCTATGCCACCAGGAGTCTCAGCAGAGAGTCGAAGGGCAGAACACCTACCGAACCGCACAGCAGCTCGCATCCACCAAGATACTTTGGGCCCAGCTCACAAAATCACCAAAAATTTGGAAGCTTGCATAGTCATCTAGAAGTTTGACCTCTCCTTCTCATTCCTACCACAGGAAACCTTCATATGTCAAACTCGCAGCCCAAGTCTGTGAAAAGCTCGTGTAGTCAGCATGACAGTTATGCTCTAGAGAGAGGATTTCTCATGCTAGAGTTTATAACCTAACCTTTCTCATCTCTGCGCTTGTACGAGGGAAGGGAAGAAACAGATAAGAATATAAACGAGATTGTACAGATTATCTCCCCCTAAATCAATAACATTTATAAGATATCTTCATTAAAAAAAAATTAGGCATGAACAGTTCTACAACATAAGCACGTGCAAATCCCATTGCCTAGTAAAGCTAGAAAAGAGTTCATGTCTAATCAGAAGTGGAAGTCCACTGCCACATGTTTTAAAGACAGCCTTGATATTAGTGTCTTTACTGTATTAAACTCATGGTACTTAAATAATAATAATAATAATATCTAGACAGCACAAAGTATAGGATGATATATAAGCATAAAAGTGCAAGATGTAACTTAAGTCAAAGTGCGTACTGGTCAAACTTCAAAGTGTCTACTGGTCAAAGTGGTACAAACTATGTTCAGAGATCAAGCATAAACCGCGCTGAGAGCAATCAAGGCCCTTTTCTTTTCCTCTTGTTTCCATCAGAAGTCGTCACAGGTAACATCAATCCCGTCTGAAGTGACAATCAGTTCCAAATGGGTGTACATGAGAGGAGAGCCAAGCCCACGTCTTGATGGAAAACTGATCCTCATTTCCTCTGTGTAATGCCAATTAATCCACAGGCTTTGCTCTGAATATCCGAGCAGCGAGAGAGAGAGAACAGTAACTTCGGTGCCACATTCAAGGGAGGCAGAGTCAGCAGCTCAACAGCAATGTGGCACTTAAGAGCAGGGGGTACAGCGAGCCCTTGTTAGCTTCTCTGGAGTCACGTCCCCCAGCTGATTTATTGATTCCAGCCATGAAAGATGACTATGAGGAGGTTAAGTACCACTGCTCTTCATTGGAAAAATAAAAAGATTATCCTCACAAGTATAATTTTTCCCTTCCTCTTTGTCTTATTTTTCTATTTCAGAGATAAAATATCTTTTACAATATCAGCTCATTATTGTGTTCATTCCCTTTAAAGGCAAATGGAGTTTAAAAGATCTTGTCACCAGAAGGGGGTGGGATGAGGGCAGGGGCAGACCTTTTATTAAACCTTTAGAAAGATTTCTAACTCATTTTGCAAGTGAAAACAACAAAAGCCATAAAACTCAGCAAAGGAGAGCTGTCACTGAGATTAAGCAGATCCAAACTCCGCCATCCATTTTTCATACTTCTCCAGGTCTGCAGCAGAAACAGATTTGGAGATTTTCTTCAGAGCCAGCTCAAAGTCCCCCTTGGTAACCGGCATCTGAAGCTCCTCTTTAGAAAGTGCACGAATCTCTTCTGGAGTTAAGCCGTTAATACGTCGTCTCATTGCCATTAAAGAGGCATCCCTGGAAATACAGGACAACGTATGGGAGCTAATTGCTAGCAGCACGTGCTGTAAGCCTATGAATTTTGATTGTATATTGTATACTCTTGCTAGAAACCACTGGCAGGAACACTTAAGACAGCATTTATTTACCATAGAAGATGCGGTTCACATCTTTCTTAGCTTCCATGTTCCCAGATCACTACATTAATTGAACGTAAAGAATGCATTGGCATCAAGACCCATTTAAGCATATGGTAAATGTGCAGAGATAATTAAAACTATAAAACTGAAAACCTTTTACAATGATTCATAGAGATGAAATTTTACAAATTCAGTGCAGGAACGGGCAGGGTGGGAGAGGAACTACACTGAAAGACTTTTTTTTTTTTTTTTAAGTAGTCTGGATTTTGCACCCCCATTCTCTTATATTTCAACCTTCTCCCCACTGTGTAGCCCAAAGGGACCATCGGCACGTGTTCGGAGTGCAGCCCAGCTCTGTTCCTGCTGGGACGTAGCACCTGAATCTGTAAAGGGCAGGGCAGAAGCCATCGGACACTAGCATCACGTGGCTCTGCAGGGTTGAGGCCATCAGTGCCGGTGGCTCCTCATGCTCTACCTGCTCTGGCACTCCTCCCTGGCTTGGCTGCTGCCAGCGTGGCCCACTGGCATGGAGAACACTGCTCATTTCTCACACCATGGCCCACATGCAGTCTGAAATTACATTTTCTCTTTC